TAATTGAGTTTAGGGGAGGGGGGCTAATTGAGTTTAGGGGGGGCTAATTGAGTTTCTTCCGTCAACGCAACGGAAAACAGTAAAAAAAAGTATCTAATTCTTCAGTTTTGTTTTTGTTTTTTGTTTTCCTGAAGCCCCCCTTCCTTCTCCCCCTGGATCCGCCCTTGTAACTGTTACTCTCTCTGCGTTATCCTAATGATCCACTAATTGTGCGAATTGGCTAATTGAAAATTCATAGATATACGTGACAGAAACGTATATGCCATGCCTCGAGAGGTTACTTGTTTGTGGTCAACAAGCTAGTGTTATGTGTGCTGTTTTACTCAACAGGAAAACTTTTCTTCCGAATATCAGAAAGATATTTCAGTGAGTGATTAATCATGTATCAAAGGTTATTTCAGCAAAGTTCCAGTTCGAATGAAGGAGTTTTAATTTTGGAGCGATTTTCGTTCAAGTGTTATGGGATGGACCGCTCTCGGTACGAGCTACGGGATCTTTATTCCACTTTCTCTTCTTCTATACTCTATCTCTACTCTTCTATACTCTGACTTAAACTAATTACATGAGCTCTATTTATAATAACTTCATGACATGTGTCATTCTACAATCAATATGATATTATTGCTGAGTCTTGATTGGCTAATGGAAATAGTAAATTCCTAAGTGTGATATCTTATTTAAGAGTAATACGAGTGAAAATCATAGAACTAAACATAGCTTAAACTAAAGATAATATGTGAATATATGGTAAATGTATAGAAAGGTCTACGAGGAATATTCATATCATAAGATTTAAAAGAATAGTGGTAAAATAACTAAGCAAAGGGGGAAAGAGTGTTTAGGGTGTAACCAGAGATGTACATGGTAATGCGGGAGGAGCTAAGAAGTTTACTTGTAAATTCAAAGCATACCATCATCTAAACTTGTGCGTAATGGTAGCCTTACTGAAATCTTATATCGGTATTTTCAATAACTAATTGATCGTTCTTTATCTTGTTTTCATACGATAAGAAATAGTAATTAGAAAACTGATGTTTAGCTTAGTCTGTAAAAACATTAATTTTCTCTCTCATAACACAAGTGCCACTTTAAGCCCCGTTTACACTGGCAATTTTTGCGGCGATTTTTGCTGCGATTTTTGTGGCAATTTTCGAAAATATGAAATTTTTTGTCTCATCCTTCAAAAGAGACATTCGTCTAGGAAAATCTTGGTATCCTGAAAAAAACTTTACTAGTAAATTCTTTTCTATTATTTATTATGAACAAAATCGCAAAAAAATCGCAGCAAAATTCATTAGTGCAAAAAGGGGCTTTAAAGCGAAGGATATTAGAAAAAGCAGATGGTAGAATAGATCGAATTCTCTACACTATTTCATTATTTCACGTTCGTTAATTTCGTTTAGTTTTCCATTGTTTTCCTTCATACCCAATTACAGATTGCTTTGGGCCATCTGTACATTGGACAATGAAAGGTGATTAGTTTTTCGGTTTTCGTTTACATCCCTGTCGTGCATGCGACTAATGGAAAAGTACAGAGCTATTGACTTGAATTCTAAAATTAATATTTTTAGATTCAATTAAATTCTGAATTGAATGAACCTTTCGTAAGAATAATATTTTATGACAAGGCAGAACCTATTTCTAAGCATTTTAATTTGAGAAAAGGTTGGTTTTCAGAACGCGTTCAAGTGATCCAAGATAACGAAGACATGGTGAACTCGAAGCTGCTTTTAATCACTTTTCTGTGCGTCTTTGTCATCATCAGTGAAGCAAAACCCTCCAAACGTTCGGTGCATGGTAAGTTTATGTTAACGATTAACCCTGAAACATCTCGGCTCTGGGTTGATCACACGGCTAACACACAGATCGAATCGAATCCTCTGGGCAGATCTCACTCAGAGATTGAACGGCTAACTTACATATTGAACCCTGAAACAAGGGCTGATCTAAGTCAAGGCACAGTTATAACTCTCAGATCGAACCCTAAAACAACCTCTGAGCTGATCAACAAGTCAGGACACGACTAACACAGAGATCGAACCCTGAAACAACCTTGAAAAAGCCTTCGAAGAAGCAGGGAAAGAAAAACGTACTTATAAGTTATATTTTTCTTTTTTTTTTCTTCAAACAAGTCGATAACGGGAAAAATCTATACAAAAGGCTTGGAGTTATATGGTATCTAGATACTGTCCCGCCTGCCTTCAAGTTGAGACATCGTCAAAAGGCAAAGCCGGTCAAGGACCGGAAGGAGAAGGGAGAGAATAAATGAGCAGCAATAACAACGAGATTATGATCAAGAAAGAACAAAAATAGTGACAAGAAGGAATGATGACTTTGATACTGGGTACTGCTTACTTATTGTAATCGTGTGTTGCCCTACTGTTCTTCAACCACAACCATCCAGCAACCCGCATTTGCATTCCCCAAATAGAGGCTTTGCACCATCACGTGATGGCAGCCATGACTGGAGGCACAACAATAGAGTCTTTCTCTCCCGGGGAAAATGAAATATTTCTTATGTTAATCAGAGTAGACCAGAGTAGACTCATGGCTGCCATCACGTGATGGTGCAAAGCCTCTAGACTATTGCTGTTTCTGTTACAACAAAGCTAACTTTATTTCAACCTTTGAAATGAATCAAATTGTATAGTAAGATTTCTTCAATATTATTTTAATGTTATTTTCCTCTCATTCGTACAATAAATAAGCATTACTTATATGCGTTGGTTTGTTCTATATCGTATGTTTTTGGTATAAGGAAGAAAAATAGTAAAACGACCTTAGGTCATCGGGTGGGTAGAGTTGATATTGAGTCAATTGGATGGCGTATGAGGCAAATCTACAAGACAATCAAGCAGAGCATGAAGTACGAGCCGAATAACCCACCCACCCCCCTCCCCCCAGGATATATAATAGATTTATTGATAAATATATTTTTAACTCAGCGCTAAACCGGCTTCGGAGATCTCCTGATTCTACATGGGGTAAGATGTCGAATAACCTGAAAAAAATTCATAGTTTGAGTGCAGCTTCTTGAAGTTATGAAGGTTTTTCCATGCCATATGCTAAGCATTTATGGTTATTTGTTGTTCCTTGTAATTCAAACACCGGCTTCTATGTGAAAAATAACTTGCAATAATTTCTATAAGAGCAATGGGCAAAACAATGACGTATTTCAAATTTAATTCATCTGTGCCAGTAAGGTTTTGTATATTAAATAATTACTTCTCATATACGTCACAACATTAGCATATGGCATGGAAAAACCTTTATAACTTCAAGAAGCCGCACTCAAGCTATGAAATTTTTTCGGGCTTTTCCACATCTTACCCCATGTAGAATCAATACTGTGAATATTGTCAGAAGGGTGATAGGCACTTTAAATTATGAACGCCATGACGTCACGTGAAAAACGCAAAATTTTTAAAACAAATGAAAACAAGTTAAGGATTCCTTAAATAGTTGTTTTTGTACATTATTCTGTAAAAATAAATACACATAATGAATAAAAACAAAGCTACCATTGCGTGACCTTGAATGAACTTGACACGATAAATTTATTATCTGTAGGAAAACCTACAGATAATACATTTGTCATGTCGAGTTCACACGATATCAGGGATTGGCTGAGGGCTCTCGACCAATCAGAATTGAGATACTTAGTAAGATATATAATAATATATAATAAAAACAATGTGTTTGGCGTGCGAAATATATCTTACTAGCCTAGATAGACATAGAAATAACCGCCAAAAAACTTGTCATTGGCGAATTAAAACAAATGTTTCTTGTGAGGACTTTAATTTATTAATTAAATGATTGCTATCGACTTCCTCGAAAGGTCCAAAAAAGCACTAAGATTCTGCTAAATCAGTGTTTTATATAAAAGTTTTATGAAGAAGAGAGAGCTATGTAGTTATACTATAGTGCAACCCGAGCACGCACAAATGAAAAAGACGTGGAAATCTGTTAATTTTGCCAAGGCAATGTGAAGTACTTGATTTTGACTATTGTACGCGGATTCCTCTGGTGAAAATATTTTACATCTACACCCTTTGATCATATCATCCGCTACGACGATGATAGCTCTTAGGTCAAATTCATTCATATGCCAAAGGATGGGGGAAGATTTCTTCTCAAAAACCACATTTACCATATTTTTTACAGCCCCCCCCCCCC